GTGGTTGTTGATGATACTCCCCAGACATAATGGTGCATGGATCTGGTGTGTAACACGTAGGTTTCAAAGCTTAGACCCAAGCTCGCACATGATTTGCTAGAGATGTAGGCTTGTGGGCTCGTGTGCATGTAGCAAAAGACGTGTTGGGAAAAGAGAGAATGAGTGGTGGTGTTTTTGGTAAGCTGTTTGATTGTGGATTGTAAAAGAGTAGAAAGCACGGAGCATGTAGATGCAAGTGAAGTAGGAAATGAATGCAGGCTTTTGTGTAAAGAAGGAGAGCCGAGCAAGAAGCCAAGGGGGACCAAGCTCCTTTTGTTTCTCGGAAAGAGAGGCCCCCAGCGGGTAATCTTGCTTTTGAAAAGGTTCGATCTGTCAGGTGCTGCTGGCCCTCTCCCTCTCCGGTCTGGTCTCCATACGGTCCGTATCTCGTCAGTGCGACGGAAGGACGCAGGTGAGAAATCATGGAAATGACGAGGTGCAAACCTCGAAGCCATTCCACGAACAAAAACGCCCCGAGAATCACGCGATGAGAAAGACCTTCGCACATAGCACCGGCCTTATTCGGACTGAAAAGCTTTCGATGTGCCTGTGAGTGAGTGTGGAGGGGATTCAGGGAAGCGAACGAAGAGAAGAAATGGGTGTGTGTTTCGTTTTACATCTTCTATGACGAAGTTTCTTTCTACGTGCTAGGAATCCCTCGATTTCGTCGTTCGTGGGGCCCGAGCACCCAACTAAGCGGGCTGCCTAGTGTTTCAGCGACTACATCCACAAGAACCAAGCTTCTGTGCTCGCTCTCCGCGCAGGTCTATAGTAAAAGTACTCACCTTTTCGGATGGTTTGATTGACCACCCAAATTCGAAGGCATCTTCACTCGTCATTTATTGACTGACCACCCACCTCTCACCTTGGTCTACAAAAGCTGGATTGTTGATTCACTTTCTGCCTCCCACTTGTGCATAAGTGCGAAAGCTAAACGTCAACTTCCATCGCACAAGGACAGGTCTTAAAAATGATTCCGATGCTTACGAACAGCATCAACGCGGTTCTGGTCTTCGTCCATCGAGCAATAAAAACCTCTTCCTCTCTGGGCACATCTTTCCTATCGTGAAGCTATCGGGGCCTAGCCCCATGTTACCCGTTTCGATTCATCCATGTCCGACTTGATGGGCTCTTCCCATCCCATCACTCTGGGGTCGCAGCACGGATCCCGGATCCATTCGGAGGCAGCGAGAACACACCAACTTCGTTCGGCCTTAGGGTGATTGTTCCAGACTCTGATTACCATGAATACGCGTCGAACACGAACAATCTCTACAATCTCTACAAAAGGGACGAGAGCTGCTCGAGAGTGGTGTCCAGCCTCCAGAACACAGTACCTCGAAGTGGTGGGGCTGAGCGGAGAGGGAAGGGGAAAAGATTGGCGGCCTGGCCTGACTTTAGTTATTTGGGTGCAAGGTACATGACAAGGGGTAACGAAGGGTAGAAGAAGTGGCATAGGCCTGCATCGGACGGACCAGTGAGAAGTAATACGCAGCGAAAATGGACATCGACTGGGAAAAAGCAAGAGCTCGCCGCTATTTATGATGCCATATCGTCGATCATATCCGCCGAAGCTGGAAAGCCAAGACTAAGGGGGGTGCAAGCACTTGTGGATCGCTCAATGGACTGGGCAGATTTTGCTCAAGCGTGCTGGCGAAGTGGGTCAGGGAGTGAGCCGAATTATCAGCGATGGCCAGATGACCAAGTCCTGTCATAGCATTACCATTAATAACCTTACACGGTGAGTAGCTAGCCATTGCCCCACCCCAAATGGCTGCTGATGCGAGACAGGTTGGGGAGAGTGTCTTAAAAGCCATAAAGCAAATCAGACAGAGGTGGAGCTTGGTGGAGAGAGAGGGCAAGAAAAAGAAAGAGAGAGAAGATACTTCCCACGAGGTTGGTCGATTGATGGCGACCTGACTACATAGTTTAGTCTTGTGCCTCCCTCTTCATTCATTCATGTCCCAAGCTCCCACTGTTGCATCTCAAAGTGACCCAAGCCCTCCTCTCTGGGGCTTTGGCAGGATCACAATTTCGACCTCTGCCGGATTGTTGGGGGCGTGGGGGGGGAGAAGGGCGCAGTTCGTTGAAACTGGCCGCGTCACCCTTTAGCTGGAGGATTTTGGTGGACTGTCCGTCTATCAGGAGCCCCCACCACAGCCAGCTTGAACCCTTTCCAAGGTCATCAAGGAGTCAATGCTTGTCCTCCTGTAGCTAAAGAAACGTCAAGTACGACTTTGGTTGTGTGCCTGTCGATGCCTCAGCTCCTGTAGATAAAGGAGGCGAGCCTCAAGTACAGATTTGGTAAATTACCCAAATAATCCGACCATTTGTTCTCGTCAACCACAAGTCCTCCACTCCATTTCGTATGAGTAGACCCATACAATGTACAAGTGTAAAACGTTGACGGGACACGGGACAGGGAGGCTGATGAGCCAGCATCCCTGACTCGGGTTCTCGCCTCAATCAGGTGAGTGGCTGGCTTATGCTCAGACGATCTTCTTAGTGCTCTTGTGCCAGCTTGTAGTCATGAGCAGGCAGACGGGTCCACTGTGAATGTAACCGCCTGCTGCTGATACGAGCAGCAACAGCAAATCTAGAGTGGATCTGGTAACTTGTTATCGGATGGGAGTCTACAGAGATTTCTCAAACTCGGGCAAACATCAAGGCTTGCACGAGTGGGCACCGGGTAAAGTCAGAACGGGCCCGCCTCTCATGAGCAGTGCTTGCCTGCCTACGACGCTAGAGGCAGCAGCGTTTCAAGAGGAATCCTTCTCGACGACGCCGCGTCCAGAATTTCCTCTCTTGCTAGCTTGGCTGCTTTGGCCGAGTGAAAAAGGTTCTGTTGATCTGCACCGACCAGCAGGCTCCAAACAGGCCCCAGAGAGCTGCTTGTGTATCTGGAGCTAGCTGGGGTGAGACAAGAGAGACGGGAAAAAGGGGGAGGGAACTAGCCTCACGCTTGATAGCCTTCAAAGCTCTTCCGCAGTAAGGCGAATTGCAGCCACGAGCGATTGTCCGAGAGGAACAACGACCAGACGAGTTTGCCTCGACCTCGCACATCACTCTTTTAACTACCTGGATTTACCTTGACCGAGATCTCATTGCCTCAGAGGGAATATGTCACCACCTGCTACCTTGGGTCGCCGAGCTCGTTCCGTATGGTTCTAGCTTCACCTTGTCGCTTCCGATTCGGAGCGGCATTCATAACTTTTCAGTTGCTCGGTCCGCGTTGTCTGAAGCAGAGACTGTGGTTATTGGAATTATGTGTGAGGTTGCGAACGTGTTGCGGCAAGACATAATTTGAACATTCGGCCGGACTCTGGACCCCAGCATCTCTGAACTCTTTCGATGGAAAGATCCCCTGATCAGAAGCCTGTCGAAAGAAGTCGATGTCTTTGCAAACGAGGTGAAACACGGGCAGGAGCATGTGATGATGGTGGTGATGATGACAATGATCTGGCATTACAAAACTGAATTCTTCGTCGGAGGTCTGGTCTGGTCTGGTCTGGTCTGTGGACTCTGGAATGCCACTAATCAGGCAAAAACATTATTAGCACCTTGACATCATTGATTCTCAGCTGTGTTGGCGTCATGCAGTCATGTTTGCAAGCATCGCTGTCAGCCGGGAGAGAGAAAATTCCGCTACGCTACAACGTCCTCTCTAGTCGATGCACTGTGACGCTGATCCAGGCCATGAACTTGCATGCAACCCTGGTAACTTTTCCCCTCCTCATCCCGTGGAAAACCGAAAATCGGTTACAATTGCTTCTCTAATCTCTGACTGCCTCAGTAATATTCCGCTGGCGGACAGGAGATGGAGGTAGTAAGGAAGGAAGGAAGGAAGGAAGGAAGTTGGAGTTAAACTCTTCCCTCGATTACACGAAATTTGAGACAAGGAATCATCATGAATCAGAATGAAAACTCCGATGAGCAATGAGTGGAGCATATACAGAACCCAACTCTTGTGCATATTCAGCCGAGCTACTGTAGAAGATGGTTGTAGGTGGGTGGGTAATGGGATACATACACTTGAGCAGGCCCGAATCGGCCCGACCCCACAAAGGCCTCCCTCTCGCTCGCGCCTTCGGTCGATCTCAGTCGCTCATGATCTTTTGCCCACCAGGTCATTTGTACAGGGCCTCCCCTCCCCCTTGCTTTGCGCTGCTTCTGCTTCTGCTGGTGGGGCAAGGCCTGCCTGAGCTCCGGTGGGCCCTCCATCAGCCTCAGCCTTTAGCATCTCTGGGATCCGATGCCGCCATGCCCCGGCCTCAGGGTCCACGGTCAGAAAAGGAGCAGCCTTTCTGTGGGCAAAAGAGACCCTCAGGTCGATCCGGCCATGGGCAACATGGACTTCCTTCTATTTAAGTGACGACCACAGTGGTCGCCCAGAATACGGCATTCCTCTCACTGAAAGACGGCGATGAATCTGAGACTTCCGGCATTTCGACGGCATCCGGCCAGAAATTTGCGTCTCCTGCGGTGACCGCATGATGCGCGCAGGCGACAACTGAGCTACGGAGTACTACAACGCCAGTGCTACCGCGGCGTAGGTGCCATACTTCGTAAAGGATCGCTCGTCTCTGCGCAGAATCACGTGGCCTAAAGCGGCACGTCTCGCCGTTCTCCTGCCAACTGTGCGCGGGTCCACCACTCCCGATTTCTCTGATCGGTGGGCCAGAACGGGTGGTTCCTTGCCAGCGTGGCTCGTTGCCACCTCCTCCGCCGGTTTTCTTTTCCCTCGGCTCCTCTCCTCTCCTCTCCCTCCCTCGTCGTGTACGCGTACGGCTCTTGGAACCGCATCCGCCGTCTCCGGGCTCTCTCTCTCTCTCTCTCTACTGTAGTCCATCCTCCCGCTCTCCTGCACGGTAGCTTTTCGACGTAGTTGGCTACCGAACACTGGCGGACCTCCTTCTGGCAGGGGCTGGAAAGCGGAGCACTAACGGTAGTGGCCCGGTGGGACCCGCTCCTATTAGGGTTCGCGTTCACTTCTCCTCGACGAGAATCGCTGGATTTTGCCACCACGCGCTCGCCCGCTGGCCCAGAGATCCTCGCAGAGCTTGCATGCTCGAGCGAAGCTGTAACATTGCGTGACAGGATCGTAGATTTGGTTGCGTTTCTCTCGTCGCTGTGATCCGGGAGCGATCCGAGCGGGAAGGAAGGAGAGGAGGTAGTGTCTCGTCGGCCGGACGTCCGAAGATTTGCCAGGATCGACCCGCAAGGTCGGTGGGAGGGAGGGACTGGAGGAAGTAGCACCAAGCACGAACTGAGTAGCGAGCGCGCTTACTGGCCTGCCTGGACTAGACTCACTAGTGCTCGGGTATCTATCTCTCCGCTTATGTTTGGGCATTTCGTGCTTGCTCTGCTGTAAATCTGTGATTCGTCCCCGGCCTTAGGCGGCTCTAGCGCGAGGACATATATGCCCCTGTTGGCTATGTCCGGACTCCAGGTCTTAGACTGTTCGCTCTCGCTTGCTTAGTGTACGGACAATCGGAGCGAAATATCTGTCTTATTAGGCAGGGTGTGTCCTAAGCTTTCGCCCGAAACTCACGGCGCACAAATCACACGCATTTCGCACCGAAGGATGTGATACTGTTGCTGAGTAGCCTAATCAGATGGCGGAGATTTGTGATAACCAGCTTGAACTGAATCAGTGTCATCGTGCATAGTTTCATGGTGGCCATTTGACGGCTTCCGACTGTGAGGTCAAGGAAGCATAGAGCTCTGTCCCAGTTCTTTGCGGAATTCTGAATCAAAGATAGAAAGAGGGGTGGCGTTGCCACTTAGCGCGGTTCAAAGTTGTGACAATTTGCACATCTAGATTTCCTTCTTCTGCTCATGCACGCAAACACGCCCACAGTGCTGTAATCGTGAGTTATGTCATTGCTGTCAGTCTTGAAATTAATTGATTAGATATGTGTGAGGGACCAAAGAAATTACGGTGTCATCGTAGGCTTCTCTCGCTGACAATTGAAAACTGCACCATGTATCTCCGAGCGCAAATCTCTGTTTCGATTGGCCATATACCTTCTGAGTTCTCGGCCCAGAACTGCACATATTTTCTCTATCAGACCGTAGACAAAGATCCATGTCGTCAGTTTTATGGGGCTGTCAAAATATATGATCTGAACTCGAGTATCACATCATCTCCCCTACCTTCTACCTGATCACTTCCGGAACAGCAGTCAGCAGACAAGCAGATAATTCTCCAGCTGTTTGAATACTCGAGTCCTGTCGAGAGTAGCTGTTACAATCTTGAATCGCGTGGAAGAGAAAGCTACCTTGAGACAACGCAGTGCTGTGCTCTCTTTTTCAAATGTTAAATTCTGTGGAACCTTTGTGATAAATTTTAAGTAAATAAAGCTCTAGATACAGAGTAACGTCCACATGTTTTATCTAGCATGAACACACCTAGCACGTCAAACTCAACCCACTTGCCGTAGTATAAAGCGTGATGATCACCTGTACATTGGTAGGGCCTCTTCTCTATCCTGGGTTTACGTAATTTAAGCTCATATCAAGCTAAGTCACAGCTTCCGCATACGGGTATTGCTGTGCAGACTTTGATTAGACTACCTGTGCTTGGACGAAGTCTAAATCAGCCAATACGCCTAAATTGCCGTTATGCTGAGTTGTTATCAAATTTTATCCAAGTTCATGCTCTAGATAATCCAAACTATCAACAGCACTATCCTTCTTGGACTATGTCACACTGTGGAAAACCAGTGATTTTTGTGTGTTTCAAGTCCTCTGTTTTGGCCTGATACGAAAAGTTAAGAATTATTTAAGAGTCCATCGCCCATATGAACGGAGTGCTGAAACGTTTTCGTGTATCCGATTGTATTGACTTAAATGCTGAAGTGGCTCCTGAATTTCGTTTTTGGGCTTGTTATTTCGATTGCCGTCGGTCGCATAACCTCTTGTTCCAGGTTCTTAAGCTCACTCCTTCCGTTACCGAACCGTAAAACGCCGTGGAGTGCCTTCAATTGACTTGCTTGACACTGATGCCTCCGCATTGATCATCAAGTGTGATCACCTGTCTGAGTATGTCTAAAGAACTTCTCTTCTGGACATCAATGTCAGTTTGATATGCCGAATTTGCTTCTCGGTTAAATCGTGAAGATATACCTTGTTTTTTTTTGGTTTGACTGCCCAACTGGGAGCAAGTTTGAATATGTTTCCTAGAAAACATTTGACCTGAAGGGTTGCTTTGCACCCATGTTGTTCTGGTATATCATGGGGGCACTCTCTGGTTCTAGTTATCCTCTATGCAACGAGGGGAATACTTCTTTGCATACATAGTCTCTAGGTGAATCATACTGGTTTCATGTTAGTGCACAATGAGGTTTGGAAGTCATGAGTTTTCCTGAAGTCTAGCTTGGTATGTTGGAGTAGGACCTTGTTCCTTCTGTCATGTAACATGATTGAGTAGAAACATCGGTGTTTAATTAGCAATAAAGCATCTCAGACTCTGGCTTGCGTCTGGTTGTTTACTGCATTGCTTTAATGATATGAAAATCTCTTTTGCCCGATCTCCCCTCTTTCTGAGTTAGTTCTTCTACCAGTGTCTTTGAAATGTGATGAATAGTTGGAATTATCGTGGGGGGAATTTGTCTTTCCCTGTTGATCAAGACTGTTTTCAATCACAGTAGAGAGTCGGAGCAGTGATGATTTCTCATGTTGATATGTTTACAAGTACAACATTTTATTACATTTTCAGCAACCTACAGATGAAAGCTCTTACAAGATTGGTGCTTTTGTTTTGCGTGGGTAACGTATGTGCTTGGTTTTCAGCCTGAAATTTACGGTCGGAAGTGACGGTGTAGAACTTTTTATTTTGCTTGAATGATGTGAACAGAGCACCTAGCGGGAGCAAACTTCATCGAATATGATCGAGGTAGTGCTGAACGATCGTCTTGGCAAAAAGGTACGTGTGAAGTGCAATGAGGATGACACGATTGGTGACCTGAAAAAGCTCGTAGCAGCTCAGACTGGAACACGGCCTGAGAAGATCCGCTTACAGAAGTGGTATAACATTTACAAGGATCACATTACTCTTGCTGATTATGAGATTCATGATGGCATGGGCTTGGAGCTCTACTACAACTAGGAGTCTTTGGACACGACTTCTGTTCTACTTAAGGGCTCGACTTTGACAAGGTGTGAATAAGTATACTGTTACAGTACACAAATGTTTTCTTGAAAATACTTTAATGTCTAATTGTTGAGTTTTGCAGTTTCAGAGTTGACACTCAATTATGAGAAGTCGCTCGATGCAGTGTTGAAGTAAATGACGCTTGAATAGGTTTTGGATTGTTTAAATTTGATGCAGATATTGTGAATGCTCGTTGCCCAGTTAGAATCTTTCGGTAGTCATACCTCGGAGCTTATAGGAACAAGACGCCCTTCAAATCGCGCTTGCAAGTAACTTGTCGCGTCTATATTTACTTCAATATCTCATGTTTTCTAGATTTTTATATCATCGATTGACGCAGAAGTGCTGATTCACAGTCAGTCACTGAATTATACCAACTCTTGTAAATCCAGCTAGGAAACTCACGGATCTGATTTTGCTGCCCAATTTGCTATCCTTGTCTGGCCTTATCTCAACATAGGATTGTCATCCATGCTCTCGCTAATCAGGGGGCTCCGTTGATCTTGTGAACAATCTGAAACAATTCAGATCGTTTCAGAGTACCTCGATGATTACCTTCTTCCCTTCCGCCGGTGTTTTGTGGAGTCAACTAAATCGGGTTTATTCGATTGTAGCATTATCCCCCTTGTTCGTGTGTTTCCTCCTCGTCAGTTCACTACTCCAAGTACACTAGGCATGACCGTGATGTGATATGGCATGTGCCTTTTCAAGCCCTCTTCAGGAAATGAGGAGAGTTTGAGTCAGCCCGAAGCAACGGTTTTTCTACTTTACTGATTCAACTGGAAGGCAATAGACTCTTGGGATCCTTTTACTCTGAAATCTTTCACTGAAAAGCGGTCGGCTTAAGAGAATGGTTTGAGAAGTGCCCTACGTCTGAAAGTTTTCAGCAGGGAGATGACAATGTGGAACCCTCGAGATGTGCTTATATCGAGGTTCTACAAAGTTGGCCAGGTCAGTTGTCTGAGACATTATATTTCTAAACAAATATAATGGTTTAAGTTGCTTCTTCAAGATACAGTCGACGCTAAATCTGGGAAGCCACAGTTGACTTGTATTTCTCGTCACTTGATTGAATGTACCTCTCTTAAATGTTGGAATAGTGACTGAATGCCCTGTGTTAACCTCTATGAACCAATTTTTGACCAAGGAGTAGACTGATTTATTCTATGTCTTTACCAGGAAATTGAGTTTTTTGGACTGATTCTGCGCTCGTGACGCGTTGAATGATGGATTAACAGGAAAAAGGGGGTGTCAAAACATGGGGTCGTAAAACTTACAGATTCGATACAGATTTTCAAAGCTGCGATACACGAGTTTCTCTGCTGGTGGTTTAAAGTTACTGACAGTTCCCCTAGCTGATTGTCACTGGGCGTTAAATCAAGTGCTATCGTGTCGAAGTTGATGTAGATAGTCACACTAGTACTATCCCCAGAACTAAGAGAAAAATGTAAACTATAAAATTTTATGTGAAGCTAATCCCACAAGATCTATATCTGCAACAAGCCAGGTTCAGAGTGTTCTAATGGACTATTGAAAGTCCTAAATGCTACGAAAGTAATGTGAAACATTGTACCAAGAGAGCTTTAAGCATGGTGGGGGTTATTAAATGTTCTTGATCTATAGGAGAAGAATGAGATTCTGTCTAGACGACCTCGTCCCAAGGCATGGTTAATGTATATCATCCTCATATAAAAGTCTTATCACTGTACGTAATTACAATCGTTAAACGAAGCATGGTTAGTTTAATTGGGTTAGAATCAAATCAATTTCACGGCAGGCCGGGACTGCAATGAAACCTGCCTGGCTCTTTTGATCATGATAGTTGAACAGTTATTGCTTGTTCGCGGTTGTGATAACTCACTGTTCAATTTGAGCAGCATTAGATTTCGGGAAAAATCATCCGAAACATTGTGAGCAAGAAATGGAGGTATATGTACGTACAAGAAAACAAAACTAAGATGTCTGTGTTCATGGATACATCATTTCTGGTGTGTTTTATGTGGCAAATGATTATGAAAAGTAGTTGATTTCATTTCCATTTAACTTTAAAATAATACATGTCAAACTTGCTATCACAACTTGTAAGATAGGAAAGAGGAAAAAATGAACAACGGTCCAAAATGCAATGCATGACGTCTATCATGTTGATAAGGAAAACTGCAATTCAAATTTCTTTTACAAAGACGTATTTCTCAACGCCAAATTCACATCACATCTGGAGCCCACCTGTTAGATATAATTGAAGATAATCTTGATAGCGTTATCAAAGTTTATAAAATGAATGCGTGTCAACGCCAAAAAATTGAAGTGGATGTACCAGCAGTTCTAGAGAGATTATACAAAGAGCCACATGAGCATCCTCTGTATTGGAGTAAGATTATTTATTATTCATACATCACTCAGAAGCGTAGAGTCTAATGGGATTAGCTTTGAGTCTAATTTGCGTTGTGCTGATATTGTTGATAACTAGTTTGACAAACATGCATCTAGAATGCCTCGCTGCAAATTGAGCAATGGCTTGTGAAAAACACAAGATAGCTATAGGTGAAGTGATCATTCTTCTCCTCATGCTAGGTTACAATGGAGTTCGATAAATAGCTATAATACTTTATGTGAATTAATACATACATCCCATAGCATTAGTATGGGTTGTTAGCACATCCGAACTCCTTGATTTATCCTTGATCTGAGCAAGATGCATTGCGGTGTTAGACTTCGGCTTTAGAAATAGACGCAAAAAAAGGAGAAGGAAAGGTTGCACTAAGCCGATTAAAGTACAAAGAAACTTTCCTCGTACTCGTGCGAGGAAACACAAGAGAGCACAGCCGGTTCAGCCGGTTCTCGAGCGAGATCACTGAAAGAGTGATAACGGGCGAGGTGGACGGACAAGTGTCCTGCGCTGGCCTCGTCATCCCGGAACTCATCCACTTCGATCGTTCCCTCTCTTCTCATTCGACGACGGCGTCTGTCAGCACTCCCTTTGACTGGATTTGAGGCGAGCCGAGTAAAATCGGGCCAGTGAGCAAAAGTGCAGCAGCAGGAGAAGCAGGAGCAGGCGAGAATTTGATCGCATTCGGACCTCGCTGCTGCCATCGCTTTCTGAAGAGTGAGTGATTGAGTGAGTGAGTGCGCCCGGAGGTCATGGCTTCTGCAGTTGCGCACTCCATAACTGCGCCGACATGTTTTGCGCCGAAGCAATCTGTGGCAGCGCGGAGCGCCGTCGCCAGGAGGTGCCGAGTGTCGTGCATCGCCGAGCCTCCCAGCGTGAAAGCGTCCACTCCGACGCCCACAATTGAGGAGAGTGAGGCTGCCGTAGTGGCGGGCAATGCACCATGGGCTCCCCCGCCTGCTGCTAAACCCCAAGCGCCTGCCGGCACCCCGTCTGTCTCCACTCTGGTATGGACGAATCTCATGAACTCTGAGGCGTTTTGTGTGATCTTGAGCTCACTGGTTGTGAATTCACTCGACTTTTTTTTGTATGGAATTCTGGTCGATGGCATGGTGGGTCGAGTCTGGTTTGGGTTCCGGAGTGCTTGCCGAATGTTTTTTTTTTCCGTTGTTGCCTTCTACCACTACTTCGAGCTTTGATCAAAGCGGTTGGGATTTTCCATCGCCATTTCGTGACCTGAAAACGCTGGTGTTTGACCACAGCATTTGCCATCAAGGCCCAGGAGGAATCGAAAATCTCTGGCCTTGCGGAACGCCTTCCAGGAGACAGTAATTACTCCTGCCAATTTTATTCTACCCTTGTTTGTGCATGAAGGTATTCAATCAGTGCCCTGCTTCACACCTTCTCTGAAACCCCTCTTCAAATGAAAAAATTAAATGAACAAGTATTTTCGTTTTCCCATATTTGCTCACTGTAATCGAGACCGGCTCCAGACTCTTCCAATTGCAAGAATTTCTTGTCCATTTGAAATTTCGAAGCTTTTACTTCTGAACAGTTGTGTTCATGGATGAGAGTGAGTTGACGACAACGGTTTTAGATATTTTGATTTTTCGAAAGTGGTTCTCTCACTTACGATTGCCGTGTAGTTCTTCTTTCTCAGTGTTTTGTGGATTCCCGTAGGCGAAAAGAATTCTCCAATTGGAGCTATGCCCGGTTGCCAAAGACTAGGTTGGCGTCATGGTCTCATTGAGGAGGTAATATATTTTCTCCTTTCAATATATGTAAAGTTGTCTGGTTTCTTTTCTCAGAAAATTGTTGTCTAAACTTAAGCCCGCTAGCTTAACATTATGAGATCAATTCTTCCAATTTGTGACCCTCTTCGACCTGAACGCGTGATCGGAGTCCTCATCGACTGCTGAATCCTTTCTGTCTCTGGGCTGATAATAGGTCTACAAGGCGAGGGATGTTGGCGTCAACAGCGTGGTCCTCTTTCCCAAGGTCCCAGATGCATTGAAGGTACGTGTGTTCTACATTTATTAGAATTTGGCCCAACGCATTGGGAACTTAATGTGAATCTTAGATGTTTGAAGTGTTTGCCAGGATTGGACCTACATTTTGGTCTTTCTTTTGTCTTCTAGCTGTGAGAGGGAATTTTAATGTTTTTCATCTCTGTTATGAGCGTCTGCAGTCAGCCACCGCCGACGAGTGCTACAACGAGGACGGTCTGGTGCACAGATCCATTCGGCTGCTGAAGGACAAGTTCCCCGATCTGGTAGGACTTGAGCGTTGCTGTGGTCTACAGCTTTGTGGTTTTCAATTATCTTGTCAGTTGGTGGAGGGAAGTTAATACTGATGTTCATATGATGAAAATCAGGTCATCTACACCGATGTCGCTCTGGATCCTTACAACTCTGATGGACATGATGGAATCTGCCGAGAAGATGGTATGAACTTTTCTCCTTCATAGAAAGTCTTTTACCCTGCTGTGTCCCCTATCTGTATCAAGGAAAGCACCTTAGGTCATAGCATCTGGCGAGGAAATATTCTTCAGTTGTCAGTAACTTGATACAGCAAATACTGGACTTGAGGAACGATAATATGACGTTAATATCGGGTTGTCATCCATGGGTATGCTTCCCTTTTTATCATACTCAAGGCCTCACTGATGTGTGGAGGATTTCTGAAGAATTCGATCTTTTCAAAAGTTTGAAACTTGCTTTTATTTGTGCTGAGCACAGGTGTCATAATGAACGATGAAACTGTACACCAACTGTGCAAGCAAGCCGTCTCTCAGGTAATTTCGCGGTTGCCAATCGAAATTGTTGCAATTTCTAGTTTTCTTGCATGTCGCCAGATACATGGGACCCAACCTAGCATTTTAGCCTCCAGCTTTGAGTGCAGGCTTGCTGCTGAATTATGAGAGTAAATCACGAAATACTGTGACAGGCACGAGCTGGGGCAGATGTTGTAAGTCCGAGTGATATGATGGATGGACGTATTGGTGCTATTCGAACGGCTCTAGATGCAGAGGGTTTCACGGATGTGTCAATCATGGCTTACACGGCCAAGTAAGCTGCCTGTGTCCTTCACCTCTTCTTAGGTTCAACTCGTTTACAAGGTCGTCTGTAGGCCTGTCACCTGTTTCACAAGCTTTTTACGAGCACCTACTGAAGCGATGTAGTTAAGCTCTGGTTATAACCGCGTGTGAGATCTTGCACATGAGAAAGAATTTTTTTCCAAGTTAGACACCTAATGATCGTTGAACGTTTTGATGACAGATATGCCAGTGCCTTCTATGGACCATTCAGAGAAGCTCTTGACTCCAACCCTCGTTTCGGGGACAAAAAGACGTAAGCATGTCGAGAAATTTGGCTCTCCTTAATAGTATCTGCAGTCCGGCCATCCCTCTGGGAAAGCAAAACCATTATATCCCAACTGACCTTATCAACTTGCCATTGTCGGTACAATTCAGGTATCAAATGAACCCAGGAAACTACAGAGAGGCGCTCATCGAAACTCGTGCTGATGAGCGTGAAGGAGCTGATATTCTTATGGTGAAGCCAGCTATGCCTTACTTGGATGTCATTCGACTGCTGAGGGACAGTTCTCCACTCCCAATCTCGGCTTATCAGGTATGTCATCTGGGCACTATGAGAACACAAATTTCAACCTTCGTGTTGATGACAATTGGAGCCTCAGATAAAGTGTCCTTCTAAACGGACAGTAGTAACAACACTGAAGCCATTGTTCTATCATCTTTCAGGTATCAGGTGAATATTCTATGATCAAGGCAGCTTCCGCAGCTGGTATGCTAGATGAGAGAAAAGCAATTTTGGAGTCTCTACTTTGCATCAAGCGAGCCGGAGCCGATGTTATTCTAACTTACTTCGCCCTTCAAGCAGCAAGATACCTGTGTGGAGAAGAATAAATGTACGTAAACGAAGACGCTGTTCATTCATTACTCTCAGCAGACCTGTTACACATCTAAGCTGACGTTTGATACGAAGTGAAAAGCATTCACTTGAGGAAGAAATGTACGTTGAGAGCAAACTTGGATCTCTGCCCCAATTTGTCTTCTGACAGCGAATATAGGCCCGATTTTAGTAGTTACAGTTTAAAGAGGAAACACTTTGTACAAATTGAAAGCTGTGTCTGTGAGTTGGTTGAAGCTATCTCCAAATTTATTGTATTACTATGTGGCTTAGCGAACGGTTCAAGCATTTGTTTTGTGTACTGTGCGAAGATGCATTTTTAGTTCGTCGTATAAATTGAACAAGGGCGTTTAATGAAGTGTGACCCTAAAAGTTAACTTATCTGCACACGACCAAATCGGGACCAGTTGTGCCAATCGGGACCAAACCTCATACCAAATCGTAAACCAGAAACAGCAGAATATGCCTGAAGGTGAGGTAGATGTAAACTGGTAAATTTTTCCAGAAGTACGACGAAATATCGTCGTGTGAGAAAGAAAGCGTCGGATAGTAACATACATTGCACATTTTCACATGGTCTCTTCTCACGTCAAACGTGTTAAGCACGCAGACGAAAGATGCGAACTCCGAAGATTAGCAAAATGATTCGTTTCACATGTCTGCTTATCGTGAAATACTGATACCTGCAAAGCCTCGAGTAAGACTGAGGTCCACACAGCACGTGAATAGAAAGAGGTAAGCCCGGTGTATATATAATATTTACTTGAGTGACGGTGCCAAATTGGTATGTTTGCGCAAAACTGGATAGGGACTGAATTTGAGGGCTACTCATAGGAAGAAAAAATCTAAATAAGTTTGTATAACTAGTCTTGAATGAATGAAAATGAAAACTAACTCAATGCACCATGTAGTGCTCTTGAACATCATATACATATGTTCTAGGATATATAAAACATCTGCAGTACATATTTGTACATATTGGTCACGCGAGAAATGAAAAATTCGACAATGAGTTTAGATATGTCATTGATGTTTAAACTACTCCCCAAACTTCTTCTTTGTCTTCCTGACTTCACTGGAATGAAAAAGCTGACCTCACTCTAAAGCATACCTTTACAAAGCTCTAGCACTGAACACCAGGAATGACTAGAGGTCGCAAAAGTGCTCAGTGGATTCTAAATCGATTCCTGCCTAAATCCATAGCCTCGGGCCTCAAACTTTGAAGTTATGCCTGATGCACCCCTCACTTATGTCAATAGTGCCTCACGAATTCGAATCGCACACCAGCAAAGCATAAACTCTTTCCAACTTCTCAGCAATTGATGTTTCTCCTGTTAATTTTGAAAATTTCTAGGCCAGGCCTTCTGACACATGCAAACTACTTTTGAGTTCTAGTGGTAGAAGGCCATATCTAATATGTCATAAATAATGTAACATTTCTAATAAAAGGGTAGAAACAATCTTAGATAGATATGCTGCTAAAAAACTTGAAAAATGGTAAGAAACAAAAATCATTTGATGCATTTGCAACGTGTGGAATTGCGAGGATTTCCAAACTTTTTTCTCACAGTTTTGGATATGCGCATCAATCTCTCATCTTCAGGCAAGAATAAAAAGTTCCATAGTGGCGAAAATTTCTAAAATTTCTTACGTGGAAAACAGTGGAAAACAACGAGAGGTAGATACATGATATCATAGATATTAGTTCTCTCAAAACATGCAGAGTCCGGTGTCATCACCATGGGTTTTTGTGTCCTCATCGAGGGATTTGTCGTAGCAGCTTGCATGGTATTGAATCAGTAAACTATCAGTTTGGACGAGACTAGTTAATCTTTGGTTTGAAATACTTTCTTGAATCCAAGCATTAGTTTACCTTTAGGTCTAGCAGCCATGTCATTATATAATTCTGCAGTCTTTGTCCTAAATCTGTATCCCTGCAAATTTTTACTCACTCTACGAAGAAAAATCACCCAAATTTTTGTAATAAAAGCAAAAACAATTACAGTCTATACTTATTAGGCTCGTGCACATTCTTATCTCCACTAAACACAGGAACTAGAAGTAGTTACACTTGAACTTAGAAAAATGTAAATAATAACACTCTAAGTTTCAACACAGTAAGTTTTAATGATATTGGAAGAGTAAGTACAAAAGCTGGTTACGGGAATGAGGGAGAATGTACCCGGAACTCTCTACTTATACTGATAAAATGATTCTGGAAAACTCTAAATTGGAATGTTGGAAACGCCTCCGAATTTAAAAGAGCGTAAAAGAGTAATGACGGTGGTCATTACTACAATCATGTCTTCGACATCACTCCTTCAGGCTACGAGTTGTTCTATTTTTTTTTCTAAAAGATATGAATATAAATATATTATAAAATGTCCATGTCATAGTCACATGGTTACGTGGATCCGCTTGAGAAAACAATAAATTTTTGTTTTTTTGCGCTTAGTGTGATTACCTACTCATCCAAACAATTTAAACCTTCTCTAATTTTTCCAAGTGTGAAGTTTGATCCCATTAAATACTAAATTCATCCATGAGCACTCTTACAAAATGTTCTAACGCTGTATTCATTAGTCTTTGGAAGATAGCTAGAGCATTACAAAGTTTGAATGACATTACCTTTTAACGAAATATAATTCATGGTGACATGAAAGTGGTATGTAATTGATATTTCTTTGAAATTCGTTGATGTTATCAATTGCATTCGTCCGCAAAAGAGTACAATATGTGATGCTCCATCTCCTTAAAACTTTTGTCACAAAATGGATTGGATTACCGATCGCTTCCGTGACGTCGTTGAGTTTAGTGTAGTTCACTCAAACTCTCAACTTTCCATTTTGTTTTTGGAGCCAACATGATTGGATATATAAACTCATTATTTTTCATCGTTTGGATGTTTCTAGCTTCTACTTTCATTACTTCAACATATTTGGGATTCATACGATAAGATTTTTGCCAACCGTCTTTGCATTATGAACAAGCTCAATTCATGCGTTTCTAAGGTGACTTTAGGCAAATCCTTGAAGTTGACGGCAAATAGATGAATTAATTTACACAGAATATTGCAAAAATATTCTCGCTCTTGAGATGATAATTCTGCACCCAATCAAATTTGATTTAGTCTCCATGTTATTTCTTCATTTGTCAAAATTAGCTTCTTCTTGATTGGTGTAGCAGTTATTTTTCTCTGTAGTGAAACTACTTCTTTTGGAACTGCATTAATTACGTAAAATTGAACCTCATCATTTGATGAATTGTCCATGTAAATTCTTTCGGATTCTGAAAAATTAGTCTCTCTTAGACCGAAGTCGGATTTGTTTGATGCCGGTGCATCTTCTAGTGAGACAAAAGTAATACGTTGTAAATGCGGCCGCTTGCCAATAACCATGTATACTTCGCCCCAATAATTCCATACGTGTGCTTTTGTCAGTCATGGCTGGCCTAAGCTCATGAGATATGATTCATCTTCTTCTAACACAACATGAAAATCAACTGCCGTTGTAATGCCTAAAATATTGATACATACATTGAAAATCATACTTTGCAATTTACATATTTTTTTGGTATCACTTTCAAGGTAGTGAACAAAGGTCTCTCAATTTCAAGACCTATATACCTCAATGCTAGAATAGTTATCACATTGACACCCGCTTTTCTATCTATCATGTCACCTTTCAACATAGAGCCATTACATCTAACATCTATTATCAAATCATACTTCTATTCAATTGCAATAGTATTGAGATATCAAAAACTAGTCGTCTTCTTAGCTCCCACGTTGTCCAAAATTGAGTATGAACCGAGATTATTTGATATTGAAAATTTTTGAAAATCAAATCAACTACGTCAGCATTTTTTAAATCCATTCTTTCTCGCCATCTTCTTCATCCGTTTCACGCTCTGAGGTTGTGATTCTTCTCGTCGTTGCTTCGTTGCCATTACATTGATCTCATTACGTAAGAAGAAGTCAAAGTACACAATAAACTTTTCTAAAAATTACTTTTTTCTGAAAATTATCTTGAATCTCGATAAAATTCACTCGATCCATTATGTTTTCATCCGCAAAAGAAACTCGTCTTGTCCTCCTTGTGCATTCCAATTAGTAAAATCTCTTGAAATGTGATCCATTTCTTTGCAAGCATAACATTGTACCTTGTTTGAGTCTTGATATATATGACAAAAGCTATGAGATTGAAGGAGATGGACACTAAGTTCCTTCATTTGTGACACAAGTTGTTTCATAGCAACTTTTCTTCTTGAATTATTGTTTGATGAACAAGGTAGTATACTTGGTGATGATGAAAACTCCAATGATTTACAATAAACCTATGCCAGATTTTAATGTGGCATTACTAACGTCGACCCTATGCTAGCCTACTTCTTTTTTTGCAATATAGATAACTTGCTCTAAAGGCGTCTAACCCTAATACCTTGTTAAAGTAATTAGATCTACATCTCAATCATGAAGTGTTTACCATCAATCTCTTTATTTCCTCAAAAATTGGATTATCAACAATATGTCATTAGGCACACAAGCTTGTTGTTTTTCTATTCAACAACCTCTATACCCTATCAGTAGAATCTTTCACTTTTTTCTCTCCAACTCTTGCCTCACTTGAATCAGCTCAAAAATGAGTATCTAATACGAGTCTTTCTTTCCAAACTCCGCAATCAATCCTACACTCAAATGTTTCCAAGATAACTTAGTAGTACTAGATTGTCGTTCAAACTATTGAGATGCTTTTTTTTCAAGAAACTCTAGCAAAAATGTAATCCAATTCTCTGAAGTTCTACTTCTTGTACTTATACATGCATTTTTGTAATTTCTCAAGAACAATTCTGGTTTTTGTGCTCATCACGATGAACACTAGAATGTCTCTTTGCTTTTCACATAGTTCTCTGCAAATTTTCTTAACTCATAGTTTATTTTTCCGGCAAAAAACACTCGCTTCTTCCTTCGCCTTCACTTCGATCCAACCGAGTTTCAAATTCACAATTACAATATTTACTCACGGAGCACACTTTGTTTTGAATCTCATCGCGCACCACATCTTCATGTTCGAACAGAATCGCTCTGTCTTGAGAACTTGGTTTTTACTCTCTTTAGAAAAGCTTCTCAAGGTTTACACTTTTATTTGCCGCATGAAAGCCTAAGATGAGAAGCTAGCTAGCTGGCTTGAGTTGAAGTTTCAGATATTGACAAAATTTCTTTCAAACTTGACAATCTTCGGATTGAACTGAACATAAGTGAACTTAGTGAAATTCCGGAG